TCTCGGGTGCCCACCCGGTTAGGCGCGCCTATTTCCCCGCGGGAAAACCGTGACGCAAAACCGCTTGCTCGACGAGCTTTCGTTTCAACAGGTTATGCCGAGCAAGCTGCATCTCAGAAACTTACGGGACGATTCTCCGAGTTACGAGCTGCAGGCTGCATATTTTGCTGACACGCCCACTCGTCTGTGGTTGGCTGCACGCGCACTACTAATTGTCTTCACGCGCGAGTCAACCAATCACAGACGAGTGGGCGTGTCGGCTGCATATGCTGCCGACACTCCTACGCTCCTGCACGCGAAGGAAGTTCCTGCAGGAGATATTTCTGAAGTGCAGCGGGTTTGACTGTACAAATCCGGACTTCGTGAGCTCGTGGCCAACTGGGATCGTGCAATAACCCAAGAACTCATGGAGTAGAATAGCGGGCATTCGGGAATTCCCACGTTCTTGTTGCAGAATGGCCCTCATAAAGTATGTATAGATAAATTTCAGATATGAGAAAAGGATTTGTCTGCAAAATGATCAAAAGCCGTGGCTCTGGAATGGCTTGCAGGTCTTCCCCATAGGAAAAGTCCAGATCTGCCACAGTTAAAGAACTTCCCGGAATTCTATGGAATCCTATCCCTCATAAATTTCACGGTTACGAATTTTCAGAGCTGCGGCGGCTTGCTATCGAGCAGCAACCTTCACACTGAATCGAATTCGAGACACAAGGAACCACAGAGGCATTACACCGGTGAAAAATTAAATGTTTAGCATTCTATACATTTTCGTAGTCCAAAGGGAGTGAAACACAGCCATTTTAACTATAAATGTAGTAACATTCAACGATTTCAACGAAATTAATAAGTATATCTCAAATTGGAGAACTAGCAGCTAGTCAACAAGTACGGTACCGTATCTTCACAGAAGGATAGGTCACCAGAATCACTGGTAGATGATAAGATATTGCGGTAGAATACGATTACTGTTTCTGACAATATACTCGGAGAACTCCAACGCTCCATAGCCTCGCGAGGAACGGTCGACGAAGTCCGCAAGTGGCATCACCACACCTAAAATGCGTGATTGTATGATTTACTCGTGCACCACAGCCCTCGCTACCCTTCCCAGAGTGGGTAGAGTATATGGAAACAAGTTTAGCGAATTAAAAAATTTGAATATGGTTGAAATTTGTTTTTTTTTTGCTCGAAAATGAAAATAAAGGTGTGGAAAGGAAAACTGATGAGGAGAAATGTGAAAGAAACCGCCAAAAACACTGGTATTCGTCATTTTTCTGAAAGAAAAGGAACACGATGACGTAAAAATTGGAAATCGAGGCGGAGAGAATAAACGGGTGAGCATAGCGGCTAGTGGAACCCAGACGGTTTTGGCACAAGTCAGCAGGCCCAAACTCGTTCGTCGCACACCTCCAAGTGGCTACAACTATGTTCTCTCGTGTTTCTGAGCAGCTTTATTCTTTTCACTAAAGGACGCAATATCTCGCCCCCCCCGCCCCCCCCTGGGTAAAAAAGTAGTGCAGAATGAAATGGGATTGAAGTAAGATTTCAGGTTCATGGGTTCACGCAATCGAAGCACTTTCGAGGAAGGTTGAACGTGTAAGGTATGCGTGTAAGTAGAAATACAAGCATATCTGAAGTAAATGATGTGAGTAAAAATGATCGTATTTAAACATCTCCCTTAGCAAGGAGGAGGGGAACTGGCCACTAAGAACAAGTTCAACTTCACCGGCTACTGAGCGATGGACTAATAGAGAGAGTCCAGGACTAGCCTTGTTTCTGCAACGCGAAAATTCCCTGCAAAACCCGAAGTAAATGAGACCAACAAGGTCACAGGAAAGAAGATTTCAGCATTTATTACCCCCCCTGGTCTCTCCTAGTGGACCAGTATCTAACTGCATACCGCCGATGCCTAAGAGACATGATTGCCGCCGCTCGTGCTCTCGATGTGACTGCCTACGTGGCGACGTGCTGTTTTTTTTTTTTTTCTGCCGTCTCGCTCGTCCGCTACGCTCTCTCGTCCCACTCCCCGTCTATTCGCCTCAGCGCACATCGCCGGTTGGACTGTCCACCTTCGTCTGTTTCGCAGTTACTGCTACGTTCGAAGAGAAAGGCCTCTATTTCGAGATGTTCCCCACTCTTTTCCTCTTTTTCTTCGACTGACGGACACAATCCGCAGCTGGTGCATTTCCGTTCAAGCGGAAAAGCCACAAAAATTGTTGGAAGTTTCTTCAAGCAAAATCCATTGCCACGGTTCTCTACAAGGGCGGCGCCACACCTCGCGCTATTGAAGCGTTGTCCTTCAGCTTGCAGTATTGAAGAGTAATAACCCTACAACTCTATTTACAATAACTCTATGAAATCTTACGTAAAACGACTAGCTGTTTGTTAAAAATTTTCAAAAGTAATATGCTCACCGTTCTCAGTGATGGATGATTGCGGATATTTCTGACCAATCACGTGTATAGAATCGTAGCCTTTTGGCATATCTTCACCCCACTGCAGGTTCCACGAATTCTTTGTGTAACACTTACCTAGCGCCACCTAGAATGAAAGGCTTTGTTTTTAAATTAACGAAGGTGGAGCCGGATTCTAGAATACTTGAAGGTAGGATGGCCGAATGGCCGGGGGGCGGTGCGGTTTTGATAACGTCACTGAACGTCATTGGTGGAAAGGCGTTAGGGGGTAGTCCCAACCAAAGCCCTTGGCGCACTAATCCACCAATAACACTACTGTCATCAAAACCGCACCGCCTTCCCTCGCTGATCTCTAATCTTAAAGCGTTATTTAGTAGATCAAAAAAATTGGGAAGGTTAATAAAGCGTGGAGCGATATTTGTTGAAACAAGGATAGTAGTATAAATCTTACTCGGCACAATAACATATAGTTTAAACCATTAGCGGACGACTGACAGTAATGTGAGCTCTTCTCAAACGAATCCGCCAAATAGATACCCTGAAATTTCATAGCTGACGATGAGTCTTTTATTATTGTACCTTTCCGCTCATGGGGGCAGCTTCGAACCGTGCCTTCGTTTGGCGTCAAGGTCGTGGCTTTAGTCTTGCGAGATAAAAGAGAAAACGTTAAATACCCATAGCCCTTAAAATGCAGCAATAGCGACCGGTTGGCACCAAAAAATGCGAAGTGCCAAAAATCAGTGAAAGAAAACCACGGAAAACGGCCAAAGCTCGAGAAACGAGAGCCTCTTTCCACCAGTAAGTCCTTACATGAGGGTCTTTCAGGGCAAGCCACGCTTTTTCGGAACGGTTTTTTGAATACTGCAAAAGACCTACACGAGACCACGTTCATTTGTGCTGAACGTTTAGCAGTACCAAAAAAGAAGTGCAAGGTACTGTTAATGGTTCGATCCCCGTGGCGACTAAATTTTGCATTTGGGTTGGCGCCTACGGGTTGGTGCCAAATCGCGCTAAATGTCAAAATCAGATGTCATATTCATCGTCAGGACCATTTGAAGCCAAAAGTGGCCGCCAACCTTGATTGCAAAATTTAGTCGCCGCGGGGATCGAACCATCAAGGTATTTCACCACTTTTTTGGTACTACTAAAACCGTTCAGCGAAAACGAAACATGGTTTTGTGGTCCTACATGCGTCCCTACAATATGCAAGAAACCGTTTCGAAAAAGCGCGGCTTGCCCTGAAAGACCTCCCTTGTTAGAGTGGACGAGCTCATTGCGCTGCGTTCATAGTTGACGACTTTGGAGATTGACATAGTCGGTGCCTATGAAAAAGATACATATTGATGAGGAGATCAGGATAACGGGGATTGGAATTACGCATTGATCGATTTATAATACCTGGACACGCCTAACCTACTAATTGCCTACTTCCCTGATCACTATGTGTGTAACCATTTTAGTTAAATATCCTGATATCCTAGCATTTCTAATTTTACGCGTTTAGTATCCTAATCTTTTAACCGCAAACTATTAATACGGCCTCAGAGCAATGCGGAGGTGACTGGTCGAAAATCTGACACCTGCTTTAGCGCTAAGATGAAGCAACTGCTCATTAAACGCTCAAATACTGGTAGAACTCACATCTCCGAACAGCCGACCCGTAATTGAGGTGTTACGCGGATTCACGAGAAAGCCATCCTTCAGAATACTCATTAAGTTCACAGCTTTCGTGCCATGCCAAAGGAACCTGAGATCAGAAGCGCTTAAGTTATCGATTCATACCATCGTAAGAAGCA